ACAAAACCATCGCGCGAGAAGCGCACCGCCGCAGAGTTCTCTGCACTGTTCAAGGGTCCGGCAGACCGCTCCGGGTATGGGAACCTGGAACTACGCGACAAGTACCTGAGCGGCATCCCTTCCCGCGTCTATCGCAAACTCGAGCTCGAAACCTTCGCCACGTGGCAAGCCGCTGACAAGCGCGCCACCGAGGTCGAGCAAATCCTCGACGTTAGCCGGGCTCGTCGGCCCGAGCTAAACAACTTCTTCTCGGCACGAGGTCGAGGACGCGGAGGGGCTCGTGGAGGTGCACCCTCGACGCACGCAGCTTCGGCCAGCATCAATGCGGCCGTCGGAAAAGGCAACTTCCCCGGCACATGCTTCGGCTGTGGGAAGCAAGGGTACCGACGTTTCGAGTGCCCCAATTGTAAGGACAAGCCTTACACAAAACGCGCCGACGCGCGGGCTACGGTTGCCTCGGGATCCACCCAGGCGGCGACAAGCGCCCCCATCACAACGACACCCTCGGCAAGTATAAGTGCCGCTTCAGCGAAATCCGAGCAATCGGAGCTGGCGGACTTAATGGCACAGGTGAAGTCGATGCGCGAGGAGCTCGAGCACTATCGGGCGATGAAGGAGGAGGGTTTTTGATCCGGTCCGCGCTTCGTGCCGCACGCGTCGGGCCGCGTATATCTTGTAATAAATATGATGTATTGTCGACTGCAATAGTGTATGAGTTGGACCAGGGGTCCCAGCACTTTCACATCCCAGTTCGACTCCAAGGGAAAAGACGGCACAAGGACATAATCGCTATGGTGGACAGCGGAGCCACCACAAAGTTTATCAACAAGCGATTCGTTATCAAAAACAAGGTGCAGACGCGGAAGTTAAAAGAACCCATTCCGCTGTACAATATTGACGGCACCCTGAACAAGGATGGAAGCATCTCGGAGGTAGCAGTGCTACAGATGCATATAGGAGAGCACGTCGAGAAGACGGTGTTCACGGTCACGGACATTGGCCCAGAAGATGTAATCATCGGGTTGGATTGGCTACGCGAGCACAACCCCGAAATAGATTGGGAGAAGGGCTCTCTCAAATTGTCGCAATGCCCTGAAACGTGCAGTGCCAGAAGTACTGGCCGAATGGAGCAAGCTGCGACTGCGCGTGATATGGGGGTCAGGCCCACGGCGTGCAGGCGTTCGCCGAAGTCCAAACAGTCGGTCATAGGTGCCTGCCAAAGCAAGGTGCTCCCGGACTTCGAACCCGGAGAAGATTCGGTGGAAGTAGAATGGGATGAGACCGACTTGATCGAAGCCTGGGAGCAGGGTATCACGCTTCCCGGCACCCCTCAGCTGTTTGTTGCAGCAGGGCACACGTATTCCCAGCTGTTCGCTGAGGAAGAGATCAAGAAGAAGGTCGTTAAGACCGCCGAGGAGTCGGTACCTAAACCGTACCACGAGTTCCTGAATGTCTTCTCCAAGGAAGCGTCAGAACGGCTACCCGAAAGGAAGCCTTATGATCATGCGATCGAACTCGTGCCCGGCTACTCGATGTTCCATTCTAAGGTATACCCATTGTCAAACAACGAGCAGGAGGAACTAGACAAGTTCCTAAAAGAGCAACTAGCGAAAGGCTACATACGGGAGTCGAAGTCGCCCATTTCATCCCCCTTCTTCTTCATCAAAAAGAAGGAAGGGACACTTCGACCCGTACAGGACTACCGCCGATTGAACGTGATCATGGTCAAAAACCGCTACCCCTTGCCGTTGATTGCCGAGATGGTGGATAAGCTCCGCGGCGCTACGCTCTTCACGAAGTTTGATGTCCAATGGGGATACAATAACGTCCGGATCAAAGCCGGTGATGAGTGGAAGGCGGCCTTCGTAATGAACCAGGGTCTGTATGAACCCCTGGTGATGTTCTTCAGCCTCACCAACTCCCCCGTGACTTTCCAGGTGATGATGAACGAGATCTTCCACGATCTCATCGTCGGCGGCAAGATCCTTGTGTACCTGGATGATATACTCATCTTCTCCACCAATAAAGAGGAGCATGAGAAGGTCACACGCGAGGTTCTGTGCTGCCTTCAGGATAATGATCTATTCCTGAAGCCTGAGAAATGCGAATGGGATGTTCCCAAGGTCGACTACGTCGGCTATGTGTTCGGTGGCGATGAGGTGGCGATGGATCCCACGAAGCTTAAAGGTATCAATCAGTGGCCGGTGCCCCAGAACAAAAAAGACGTTCAGAAGTTCCAGGGGTTCTCCAACTTCTACCGCCGCTTCATTAAGGACTTCGCTAAGATCTCGCGACCACTCGACCGGCTCACAGGGAATGACCCCTGGCATTGGGGTGAGGAAGAACAGCATGCCTTCGATGAGCTCAAGCGGCTCTTCGCGACGACTCCAGTCTTGGCGCTGTACGACCCTAATCGAGAGACGCACGTTGAGGTTGACGCCTCGGGCTACGCCACTGGTGGCGTGTTGATGCAGAAGCAGGATGACGGCAAATGGCATCCCATCGCCTTCAGATCCCATGCGATGGATCCGGCCCAGCGGAACTACGAGATCTACGATAAGGAGATGCTTGCGATCATTGAGGCGCTAGACGATTGGTGCCACTATCTCGAAGGGTTACCCAATCAGTTCGAGATTGTAACCGATCATAAGAACCTCGAGTACTGGCGTACATCCCAGCATCTCACGCGCCGTCAAGCGCAATGGTCGCTGTTCCTAGCTCGCTTCGACTTCCGCATCACGCACAAGGCCGGGACGTCCAATGGAAAGGCTGACGCCCTATCGCGTCGATCAGACCACCAGATTGGCGATGAGGACGATAACACCGATCAGGTGGTTCTCAAGCCAGAGCGCTTCCGCATCGCCTCCGCTAGGCGCGGTCATGCCTCGGTGACGGCCGATCAGTCGCTTCTGAAGCGCATCAGGGAATGTTCGGAGAAGGATCGGGAGGTGGCCGAGGCCCTTGAAAAGGTACAGGACCTCGGGCCGCCCCGGCTGCAAAGGGGTTTTGAGGAGTGGAATGCCGAACAAGGGCTCCTGCTGTTCCGCAGGTGCGTGTATGTCCCAAAGAATGCGGAGCTCCGGCGGGATATAGTCAAGATCCACCACGACTTGCCAATCGCCGGTCATGGTGGTCGTGCCAAAACCCTGGAGCTCATGTCGCGGAATTACTGGTGGCCTGGGATGTCCAAATTCGTCAATGAGTACGTAAGCACCTGTGACGTGTGCAACCGTACCAAGACATTCCCAGCCAAGCCCCAGGGTCCGCTGAAGCCCAATGAGATCCCCGAGTGCCCGTGGCAGATTATCACGACCAATATGATCGTCGGCTTGCCGAAGTCTGATGGGTTCGACTCGATCCTGGTTACCGCTGACCGCTTCACAAAGCAGGTCCACTTCTCAGCCTGTCATGAGACCCTGACGGCAGAAGGAGCGGCAGACCGGTACATCCGCGATGTGTTCAAGCATCATGGGGCCCTGGCCAAGGTCATATCAGACCGAGGTCCTCAGTTTGCTTCGAAATATCTCCATGCGGTGTACAAGGGGCTAGGGATCGAGCCGGCGCTGTCCACAGTGTTCCACCCCCAGACAGACGGCCAGACTAAGCGCTGGAATCAGGAAATTGAGCAGTACCTGCGTGCTTTCACAAGCCACAGGCAGGATGATTGGGCAAAGCAATTACCGCTCGCGGAGTTTGCACTGAACAACCGAGTTCACTCCGCGACTGGGCACTCCCCTTTCTTCCTGCATCAGGGGTACCATCCTGAGATCCAAGTGCGGATCAATCCGATGTCTGCAATGCCGGCGGCCACTGATCGGTTCAAGATCCTGAAGGAGATTCGCGACGATACGCGCTCTGTGCTCGAGCTGTCAGCCAAGCGTATGAAGGTGTACTACGATAAGCACGTGCAAGAGGCACCGGTCTTCGCGCCGGGGGACAAGGTTTGGCTTGATGCCCGGAACCTTAAGCTGAAACAGCCGAGCAAGAAGCTCAGTCCCAAGCGCCTTGGACCATATGCCGTGCGGCGAAAGCTCGGAGACTTGGATTATGAATTAGTCCTGCCGAAATCGGTGCCGGTGCACCCGGTGTTCCATGTCTCCTTGCTCAGCAAGTACACGCATAGCGATATCCCGGGCCGGGAGCCGGAGGAGCCGCCTGCAATCGAAGTTGAGGGCAACGAGGAGTACAAGGTTGAGCGGATCAAAGATTCGAGGATCTTCCAGCGTCAGCTGCAGTACCTTGTCAAGTGGAAGGGTTATGACGACTCGCATACGTCATGGGAACCGGCGCACAATGTTGCCAATGCACCAGCCCTCATAGCCGACTTCCACCGGAAGAATCCGAACGCCCCTCGTCGACTCAACGCTGCTACCTTTGGTGGTCTCAACTTCCAGCCGATGCCTTCGCCGCTGACTGAAGCACGCTGCTGCTCCGGGTGGGAGATGGGCAAGGGCGCCTCGCATGAGGTCATGCGCCGTTGAGGGGGGGGGTAATGTCACGACTTGGTATGGCGCCTAGCCGTTTTTTAATTTTTCCTTTTCGCGGGCTCGAACCCGCGACCTCTGTACTACCTGCCTGATATGGACACGTTGTTATCTACTGTACGATCAGATTAGATAGGACGGCAGTGCACGGCACAGCTCGGGCTCCGCTGACACAGCCTCTCTGACTCACCGGCCCCCGGGGCCGCGTCAGCATGCTGCGCACGGACCAGCTGCGCACGGACCAACGCGCACAGCCTGCCCTAATCTCCCCATGTATATAAGCCGGCCTCTGCTGCCCTAGGGACCTCAGTTTCGACCTCTTGTCCCTAGGTCAGTAAGCCCTCCTTTGTATCACTTTCTTACTTATACTAACCAATACATTTTCTTGTCCCTAGCCTTAGGTTTGAGCCTTGCTCACCATCGCTTCGGTAAGAACCAGTCGAACGCCCTTCGCTTTTAGATATTCCCCTGTCGCTTGACCTCAAGTCGCGACAGTTGTGAGGAAGGCCATTTCGTCGGCGAAGGGCGTTGTCGCTCCCTGAGTCCCAATATGGAAAGCGGTGAGCTGGGCGAAGACGGGAGTGGCCCAGGCTCGTGCGTCACCATCGAGGAGGCTAAGGGCAACTTGGACCTTCAGTTCGATGGTAGAGAGGGTCGTGTTAATCGCCCAGTAGATAAGCAACTGGGAGACGAAGCGGTTGCACTCAATGACAGTTTTCCCATCGTATCGGAGGGGGAGAAGGAGCTTCAACGTCTCCTTGTCAGGTGCAGCGGCGGGAGAAGACATTATCGGCGACGAGGGGGACAAAGGACTGCCCGTGGACGGAGGCGACTGT